CAGCATTGTCAGTATTAGCAGAAAGAGCGCATCCCAAACACAGCCCCAGTGTAGCCTGCGTGATTGCTCCTTCGTGCCCACAGGGCACATCTGCCTTCAGGCCACTCCTCACAGCACCCACAGAAGACCTCACTTCCATCACTGCCTCCCACCCACCTGAACTGCCTACCCTCCTCCTCCTCTCTTTCCAAGTGTCATTGCCACCCAGACCAAACCACAGTGTTATAAACACCACCATCTGGAACAATCTCCCTCTTTCCACATAGGCCAGTGGCAATTTATCATCAGTCCCGGCGAGGGAGAAGGGAGGCTCAGAAACACACACACTAGAGCACTTCTTTCCCCACTATTCAAGATCCAACCATCTTCAAAACTGAAAGTCATTTTAAAAGTTCCAATCATCTGGCCCAGACAGTGTGGCTCAGTTGATTGGATGTTGTCCCATGAACCAAAAGGTCGCCGGTTTGATTCCCAGTCAGGACACACGCCTGGGTTGTGGGTTCAGTCCCCAGTCAAGGCACGTGGAGAAGGCAACCAATCAGTGATTCTCTCTCATTGATGTTTCCGCCCTGGCAGCCTCACCTGTGACAGGGACTGCCGGCAGGGTGGAGTGTGACGCCGCAGCAGCGCCCTGCATACAACAAGCATGGGCTGCCGAGGAGATTCTGACTATTAAAATACTAAAGGCAGAACCAAACCGTGAAAGAAGGAATAAAAAGTTTCAACATGAAGCTGAAACTTCTGCTTAAAAGCAAACCCTTCAAGAGCAGGCATGCATTTAAATATTTAATGTTTAATATAAATAGAGCACCCAACTTTCTGAGAATCTGAAACACAAATGGAAATGCAGACCCAGAGAGGAGGGCCTGTCCCCTCTGTTTCCTGCTCCTGATTCCCTGCTGGTGTCTGTACATGGCATCGCCAGCCATCTTTCTGGCACCCAGCATGCCCCTCCTCACCCACCCCTCTGACTGGCAGCAAGCAGCTGCAGCGGCCTCCCAGGGAAAAAATGCCAGTGGGTTTGGCTATAGCAGCTGGTCAAGCGAGGCCTGTGGTTTCTGGTACCCCCAAGAGCCCAGCTGCAGGTCTTCGGAGCACTGGGAGCTGAGGCACAGGTGAGCAGAGTGGTCTTCATTCTGGAGCAGCAGGTCCCATACCCAACCTTCAATATGTGGTGGGCTTTCCTTTGCCTGCCCTCCAACTAAAGATAGAAACGCAGCCAACACTTGACAGGTTTTCATTAACTCAGAGGCTTGTCTGCCAAGAAAGAGTGGTGAACCAATGGCACTTACGAGAAGCTTCCAGAACACTTGCAGAGGCAATGGGCTGAGTGCACCTCCTGCACCATCTCGCTGAACCCCAGAACCACAAACCTAACAGGTGGGTCCCGTAATTACCCCCACTTTTCAAATGAGGAAACTGAGGCTTGAACCAGAATAGCTGAACAGGACTCCAAGCAACTCTCCTGGACCCCCCACCAGCATTCCTGTAAGCACTTTGGAACTGACCTGGTAGGGCCAACCGCAAGGCCTTAATGACACACCACTTCTCCCACCCCAAAGACGAGTTTAAGGCTTCAACCATGCTTTCACCCACAGACATCTCGCTGCTGTGACTCTCCCTGCAAGCAGACTCAGTCATATGTTCAGTGTCTGTATTCGCCACCAGAAGGGCCTTTCCAAAGACCCGCAATCCCCGGCACATAGCTCTCGACAAACGTGTTTCCTGGTCAAGCTTTTCCTCCCTGCATGCCCTGAGCTCCTTGCATTCGGCCTCTCCTGGCTTCTTCACCCAAAATCTATGGACAGAATGATGGAAAAGAAAAGTCTCAAGCCACACACCACAGTGATTTTTCCTTTTATTTACCCTAGCCATTAAGAACCTTCCTGTGCTCTCTTGCCTATAGCATTTCTGTTTTGGGGACATGTGGGAAAAGGGACACTGCACAGAATGCTTAAACCAGGTCCAGAGAACAACCCAATACCTTCATGCCCAATGCTGAGCAGTCCCCAGAAGCTCCCAGAGCCTGGCAAACACACAGGAAGAAGACAAAGACTGTGGATGCTCGAGAAAGTGTTTGAGAGGATTCTAGGGGACTAGATGTCTGTCTCCGAAACTGGAGAGTGTCCTCTAAGGGCTCATTTCAGTCTGCTTGGCATTCAAGAATCCCACACAACATTAAATATGACTTCAGAAGCCACAATGACGGGTGAGGTAAGCATTTAACAAGCTGGAGGCACACACCCATGTTCACCGCAGCATTAACCGCAATAGCTAAAACCTAGCAGCAGCCCAAGGGCCCATCCATGAGCAAATGGACAAACAAAATGTGGTCCATCCACACAGCGGAATATTATGCATCCTTAAAAAGGAAAGAAATGCCAACAGCTGCTACAACATGGATGAACCTTGAGGACGTTTTGCTAAGCAACGCCCATCAAAGAAGGACGAAGGCTTTGTGAGTCCACTCACAGGAGGTCCCTAGAGGAGCCAGATCCACAGAGACGGAGGGGAGATGTGGGCTGGGAGCTGGTACAGGGGAGTGAGTGTTCAATGGGAACAGGGTTGTTTGGGAGGATGAGAAAGTCCTAGCGATGGGTGCTGGTGATGGCTGCAAGACACTGGCATGTACTTAATGCTACTGAGCTGAGCACTGAAAATGGTTAAAATGGTAAATTTTATGTTTCGTGTATTTTATCACAATAAAAAACAGACAAACACCAGTTCAAAGAACTACCATTTGCAGACATCTGTCACCAGGACAGGACAATGCTTCACCTAAGGGACCCACCACTGATCACCAGCAGCAGCTGAGCCAGCGGCCGAGTGCCAGGAGCTCAGTATCCCAGCAGGTGTCAGCTGCAGTGACGCCTGCGGAACAGTACCTTCCCTGGTGACGAAACCCTCAGTGCTGGAAAAACAAGCTTTGTCCTCAAGAGCAAAAGGGTTTAAAAAAAAAAACAACTGCTGAAAATATCAGAGCCATTTGCAGATAATACTGTCCTGGATATTTTGACTAAAATGGATACATAAATAAACCCACAGAAGAATGTCTTAAATTATATCCCAAGACATAAGCCCAGAGCATTTCAAACAAGCTCCTAAATTTGGAGAACTTAGCCTTGGGATAAAAGAGTGTTCGCTGTTTTCCCTGGTGCCCCATCCAGAAGGGATCTCCTGTTCCTAAACATAGGACAACCCCCAAAGAGACATACACATTTTGTTTTGTTTTGTTTTTTGTCTCAAACCTGGTGCAAATCCCAGCTGTCTTTTATTAGCTGTGTGGTCTCAGGCTAGTTAAGTAACCTCTCTGGTCTCTAAAGCAAGGATAACAGAGCTTCCCTTGCAGCTGTAGTTTAGCTTCTCTCTGTCCCTGACCTGCCAACATTCTCAAGATTTTTCTACAATATAATAACCACAGCCTCTCCCCTGACCACAACCCTCCAGGTTCTCCTTCCCTTCATTGCCCAGCCTCTCAGAAGACCCTCCCTTTCCCCTTCACCTATCTTGTGTGATACAGCAACCCACTCACGTTCTTCCACCTGGATCTCATGTTCACTGACTCCTCCTAGGGAATTCTACCATTCCCTAGGAAAGAGTCATAAACGAGTAATGCGTGTGTGTGTTTGGAAGTTCCCTCCCAGATATCTAAACATTATAAAATGACAGTGATCAGAACAGTAATGGTCCTGGTGCCAGAAAAGACAGATGTATTTACGAATACCCAGAACCAGACCCCAAGTCAACAACTAAGGGGTAGGTTTCTGCAATCAACAGCACTGAGACCCCAATTGTTATTTGGCGGAAATGGACACCCCTTCAAATTATGCACACAAATAGAGACCAAGAGAGCAGGGTGAATATTTTTTAACAATAGCAACTGAAGTAGAAAACTTGGAAAAAAACACTCATTTCTAGACACAAAGGGACTCTCTAGGCATAAAGCAACCTGAGAAGCTCGTGAAAATCCAGCTCTGAACTCATAAGCGCTCTGAGTGAGTCTGGCAGCGGCCATCAAGGGCATCTGAACAAAAATGCCTAGGAACACAGCTGGCAAAGGGTTAACAGTCTGCATCTGTGAAAACCGCCTACAGATTAATATTTCAAAAACCACTGAGGTCCTATAAAATAAACAGACAAAGGACATGAACAGGAAGAGAAAACCCAAAGGACAAATATGTTTTAAAAGATCCAACCCTGATAGCAATCAAAGAAATGCAAATAAAGCAGCAACTACGCAGCGGCTCCGCCCTCCATGAGTTATGAAAGATTTCTGTGATCCAAGCCAGCTGAGGTGCTCCTCTCATCCCGTGCTAGGAGGAGCACCACTGGTACAACATTTCCGGAAAGCCGTTGGGCAATCAGGATCAAGAACCTTTGACCCAGAAATCGCACTTCTGAAAATGCAAGCCTTAAAGAAACAAAAGCTCAGTAAAGCTCTGTCCCCAAGATATTCATCCCTCTCTGTGAAAACTGGCAGTAATCTAAATGCCCAACAACAGGAACAGTTAAGTAGGTTAACACACAACAGAACCACTAGAAGGAAGAACCCGCATAACTGTGGAATAAGGATTGCTGTTTTAATTTTTTTCTTTCCGTGTTTCTTTTTCCAAATGTCTATCATGAGCAATGTTACTTCTATAACCAGGTAAGAAATAAATGTGTTTTTTCTACCACAAGTTCTACACTCATGCACTCCTACCCCTCTCCTCAAGCAATAGGGACATTCAACTGTCTACCTAGAGCAGGAGTTGGAAAATCCTGCCCACCACTTGGTTTTGTAAGTAGAGTTTTATCCAGAGACAGCCACATACGCTCACATTGCCTATGGCTGCTTTTCCACTCTCACAGCAATACTGCGTCGCTGCAGCAGAGACCATGCAGCCTGTGAAGCATAAGGGATGTGATACCAGAGCCTTTGCAGAGAAGACTTGCTGCCCCACCCCCGGTCTCGGGAACAAGGCATGAGCAACGCTTCAAAGCCTGCACACCCCACATACCTTTCTGGCAGTGGCTGTGAGTCCAACACCGCTCGACAAACTGCCCGTTAATGACCGTGGCAGGGCAGTTGGTCTTGCCCTTCGCAGTGCCTGGACAGATGTCCCCACATTCCTCGTTGTCGTCTTTGTTCAGCACAATGTAATTATCCTCCACTGAATCCAGGATTCGCGACCAGTCGATGGTGGCCAGGTAGCAGAGCTCATTGTTCTTCTCGATGCGGACGGCCCCCCGGGTGATGTTCATCAGGCTGTAGAGGCCAAGCTCCTTCAGGTGAACCATCTCAAAGATGACCAGCGCGTAGTTGAAGAACAGACGGGAACCCCGGATGACCGTGAGATTGGGGAACAGGTCCTTCAGGCTCTCCAGCCCGTAGACCCGGAACAGCAGCAAGTAATCAGTGATCATGATGAGTTTGGGGAAACTGAGGTCTCGGAAATCCTCGGGCCTTGTCTTGAACATCAACAGTATCTGCAAATGTCCTTCGATGACCGAGCAGTTAGCCAGCTCATGCAGCCGCGTGAGGTTGTTCCGGATGTCCATGCCGGGACATACTGCAAGTGAAAATATGCAGAGAGTGTGACAGGTGAGCAGACACACAATGGGTGGGTTATAAAAATCAGTGGCAGGGCCAGCTTCATGGGTATCCAATCTGAGTCCCAAACTTGCTCATCAGGATCCTGCCCTTGGCTTAACCCTCTTCCATCCATCTTCAAATCCTTAAACCATTTTTGAGCAAAGGACCCCATGTTTTCATTCTGCACTGAGACCTACAAATTCTATAGCCAACCCTGATTAGTGGCTTTCCTTGCAGTTTCTGTATCTAAGTAATTACTTTAGAGAGGCAAAGAAAATAACTCCTTTGGCAGTACCTGTTAGAAGCCTCCATGTCACTGAATGGGATGTGACATAATAGAGACATTGGGATCATGGGGACTGAGCAATGCGGCAGGTGCAGGAGGGGAGGGGCGCCAGCTCCACAGAGTCGCAGGGGAAGGTAGTCAGGAGATGACTTTGTGGAGGTCAAGGTGCCCGCAAGAAGTGACGGGCTTGTTTATCAGTTTTCTCACCCCACTGGCTCTCCTCAATGTGCCTCCCTTCCGGGCGGGCAGCCAAGGCCTCCTCACCTTTTACCTGGGAGTGGCAAGGGCCTCCCAGCAGTCTGCTCTCTCCTTCACAAACACCAAGGGTGCCCGCTCACCTGTCCTCCTAAAGCTGGTCCCTCCCAGGCTCGGGCACCCTCCATGGCTCCCCACAACCCTGCCCTTTCCTCTCACAGTTTTCAAGGTTTTGTCCCTCCTTCCTCTGTACCACATGACACAGACCTCCCCACCACGCAGCTCCAAGGCTCTGTGTCCCCACCGCTGTAGCATGACCCAGGAGTAAAGCAATGCAGACCTGGCCCGCAAGAAGTACCTGACACACAGTAGGTACTTATTAACATCAGCTATGTTGTCATTGTTTATTTCTCCCAAACATTATCAGTCATCTCTAGACTCTGTGCCTTCACTCCCCTAAACCAAGCATGGGCACATATTTTCTATAAAGGATCAGATAATAAATATTTTCAGTTTTGTGGTCAGTCTGCACTGAGACTATTCCACTCTGTCATTATACCGTGAAAGCAGCCAGAGACAATATAAGAAGTGCAATTGGCTGTGTTCCAATAAAACTTTATTTACAAAAGCAGGCAGCAGGCCAGAGGTTTGCCCCCTGGCTGTAGCGTGGCCACTCCTGCCCTAGTCCAATGCTGTCCAACCACTCTCTGTGGTAATGGAAATGCCCTGGATCTGCACTACGCACTGTGGAAGCCACCGGCCATTTGTGGCTCACAAGCACTTGCAAAGTGGCTAATAAGACTGAAGAACTGAACACTGAATTTAGCTTTAGCTAACTTAAATGCAAACAGACATGCGAGACTGGTGGCTACTGCCCTGGACAGGGGAGCGTGCGTCACAAGGGCCATCAAAGTCCTTTAAACCTCAGCTCCCTGTTTCTCAATCCAGCCCGTCATCCTTCAAGATCCAGTTCAATTGCCACCTTCTCCAGACAGCCTTCTCTGCTTTCCTTTCCTCCATACACCTATTTGGATCTTTCTCCCTTCTTGTGCCCCTTATACTTGAGTTAACATTCACCAGAATCAAACTCTTCAGACATCTCCTCCTTGCCAAACAGTAACAGGACACCCAGGCCACAGCCCCTGTTCACTGTATTCCAAGGCGCTAACCCTGAGGCAAACAGATACTGAGGCAAACAGAACTTTTCTAGAGGATAATAGAAAATCCTCCTCTTTAAAATGCACCCTGAGAGTGACTGGCAAAAAAAGCACAAACTAGAAAGTAAACAGCCAAGCAACAAACTGGGGAAAACAAAGCAGCAATGTTCCTGGGTCACATTCTGAACAGATTAGACGAAATCAAGAGAAATACATCCTCACTCCCTCCCTCATTAGGAAACTGGGCAGCGACTTATAAAGGACAAGGACATCCATTCTGGCCCCACACACTCATGCCCCCAGGCCCAGTCTGAAGCTCCCTGTGACAGTCACACCAACAGCACCCGCATGCAGAGGTCGCTACAGGTACTGAGCCACTGATGCCTCTCAGCAAGTTCCATCCCCACTCCACCTCTGAGAGACAAAGCCCATCACCCAAGGGAACAGAGCCCACGAGTGACAGGCATGGCTGCCAGATCTGGTGAATAAAAAAGCAGGGCACCCAGTTAAATTTGAATTCCATATAAACGATGAGTAATTTTTTAGGATAAGTATATCCCAAACATTGCATGGGATATATTTGTCCTAAGAAAATACTTGTTGCTTATCTGAAATCAAAATTTAACTGGGTGTCCTATGTTTTACTTGGCAAAATACAGCTTCAGCTTGACCATAGCTCTGGGCTCCTCAAGCCTGAGCCTCTGTTATTTCACACACACATACACACACACACATGTGAAATTGGTGCTGGTGCAAAGAACGCCCACCCACCATCCTCTCCAGGCTGTGACAGAATCAAAATCAGATGTGAACATGCATTCAAAGATTTTCCAGCTGCTGGACATTAGGGAAATGCAAATCCAAACCACAATGAGATAGCACTTCACCCCAACTAGGATGGCTCACATCAAACAGTTGGGCAACAATAAGTGTTGTCAAGGATGTAGAGAAATCGGAACCCTCAGACATCACTGGAAATGCAAATGGTGTGGCTGCTATGGAAAACAGTGTGGCAGTTCCTCAAAAGGTTAAGCAAATAGTGAACATGAGACCCATCAATTCCACTCCTAGGTATACACCGAAGAGAAGTGAAAACACACATCCACGTGGAAATTTCTATACAAATGCCCAAAGCAACATTATGTATAATGGCCAAAAAGTGGAAGCAACAGAAATGCCCGTGAACTGACAAATGCACGAGCAAAATGTGGTCCATCCGTGCAGTGGGGGTGTCTTCAGCCACAAGGAGGAACGATGCAGCGCTCAATGCAATGCATTGCGAATAAACTTTGAGAGCATGGTGCTCAGGAGAGCACCCACTCACAAAAGACCATGGCAGGGTCCAACTCCATTCACATGGAGTGTCCAAAGCAGAGACGGAAACAGACTTGTGGTTTTGAGGGGCTGGGGAGTGACAGCCGGAGGATGGGATTTCTTCTGGAAGGGATGAAATGTTCTAAAATGGACTGTGGTGATGGCTGCAAAACTCTGTACGTGTACTTAGAACCACTGAATTGTACACTTTAAATAGGTGAATTGCATGATATTGAATTATAGCTCAATAAAGCTGTTACAAAAAAGATTAAATGACTATGATTACCAGGGACAATAAAACACTGCCCTTTTTTCAATTTCCAATGACTCTAACTCAACTCATTAAAGCCATATGTGTCCCTATCAGTCTAAGACAATAGACACATTTACTGTTGGGGCAGAAATTCCCCGGAGGAAGTCAGAAATGGTGCCAGAAATAGACGGGGGGCCTCTGCTGGCTTTTGATGCCCCTGGTTGGAAACCAAGGACCCTTCAAGTTCTTAGTAAGTGCTACCGGGCTAATCGCCACTCCACACACAGGTGGGGAAGGATGAGGAGAAGCAGGAGGAGGAGGATCCCGGAGCCGGCTAATGTTTTCTGAGCAACTTGTATGGAAAGTTCATGGCCCCTGCTCTGGAGCACATTCTCTCTTGTTGAATTCTGAACATCATCCCCAGAGGAGATGTCCTGTCCACAATGCACACGGGCCATTGGAAGAGGTGCCGATAAGATTGCAATCCTGTATAAAATGTAAAGTCTGTGCTGTAGCTGCTGTGGTGCAGTTTTACCATATTTGTTTTTCCCAAGATATGCCGAATGAAAAAGCAGGTGCCCTAAACTTCAGGAAACAATGCAAGAGTTGCCGTGCCGTGATAACTGGGGAGAGCTGGGTAAGGAGAACCTCCCTCACTCGCTCCTTCAGCAAATATCTGCTGAGGATCTGCTCCGTGCCGGTCGCTGCTGCAAGTGCTAGAAGTTCTAGAGGGCACAGGAGAGTAGCAGTCGCTATTAACTTCCCAAATCAACTTGAAGTATAACTGAGGAGGACACCATAGAGGAGCACTCCATGATCTACAAGACTTCACAAAAACGAACTCTTTGACTTGGTCTGGGACAATTAAGGAGGGCTTCCCAGAGGATGTGATGCCAGGACTAAAACCTAAACAAACAGTGCAGTAAGAATTAATCAGTTCTGCCTACTGCACTGGGAGGTCAAGGGCGATGGCAAATAATAGCTCGTCCCTCTGGATGACCAGTGTGTAGGAGCTCCAGCAGCAACACCTGATAAAAATATGTGGGCCACATATGGTGTTTTAAATTTTCTCTAAAAAGGTAAAAAGAAACATGAAATTCAATATATTTTCTTTACTCCAGTGTATCCAAAAACCTCACTTCAACATGTAAACAATACTAAGGAAATATTAATGAGATACTCCACAGGATTTTTTTCACAGTATGCCTCTAAAATGCCATTGCATTTTACACATCCAGCATGTCTCAATTCAGATGCCACATTTCATGAGAAACTCTCGATCTGCACCAGCAGATTTCACAAAGTGCACCACTGAAAATGCAAGTCCACATGCCCAAGGTGGCCCAAACATCGGGAGAGTTTACCAATACCAGAATCAAGTACTGATTTTTTTGAAATTTAAATAAATGCAAGTTAAATAAAACTTTACATTTACATTTAAATAAATTAAAGTTAAATAAAAGAAAAATTTCAGCCGAGCTGGCCACAATTCCAAGAGCCCCCAGTGTAGACAGTGGCACCACCTTGGACAGTGCAAACACAGAACTGTCCATCGACACGGAATTTTCTGCCAGGACCTGCTGGTCTGAATTTCCCCCACTGCAAGAGGAAGCTGGGAATTTTCCAGAAAAGACTGGCATGACAGCTGTCTTCAAAAGTGTCCCCTGTCCCCTGGTTTTCTCTCCACCGTGAGAGCAGCAAAAGAGAAGGCTAAAGGGGCAGACACAGAGATATCTAGAAGATTCTGGAAAATCCTCTACAAGGCCAGGAGT